ATGAAATAGAGAAAAAAAAGCAAATAATAATAATAATAATAATAATTTACAATTATCAATTAATTTCAACTTCGAATTATAAAAAGTAAAACAAACAAACAATAAGGTTGTTGTTGTTGTTGTTGTTTTTATGTTTAGCATATCAATAGGATCGAATACTAATAAATACATTTGAATATTAAATATATAAACATAAATTAGATCTATTTTTATACTGATAATCTAGACTACAAATATATGTATAACTTATGTAATAAATTTATAATCTTGATTAAAGTAATTAAATCAGTTTATCATTAAAAAAGATTAAGATTTTCGGAATGAATCAAAGGTTAGTATTTTTTTAATGTATTTTAATGTATTTATTATTACCATTAAATGTTCAATTATAAACTAAATTTATTTCGTCGGACATCAATCAGTTCATGATCTCAATCAAAAACTTAATATTCTCCACAACCTTATACTGATAATGATCATGTGCTTACTAGTGACTAACTTTTTGAGGGAATTTTCGGAGTTCAGGTGAGAAGCCGTTACCAGTGGAGTTCATCCGCGTCGGATAGCGACAAGCATCTACCTCAGTAAAATGAAAGATGGTTGCACGATTTCGTGGATTAGTTGATGCTGGCTGGCTCAGTGGTCTAGAGTTTAGGCATTCACACGTGAGACTGAAGGTCCTGGGTTCAAATCATGCGATTGGGATCGTGGATTCACACTGTCGGAGAGTCCCACAAAAGGACGAAACGGCCTTCCAGTGCTTCGAGGTTTTCAATGGTGGTCTAACATCGATCGATCCATGATCTCAATCAAAAACTTAATAATCTCTACAACCCTATACTGATTATTTGAGAATAATTGGAAAAATTTCATTTGTACTTGTTAATTATGTACAATTTAGAAATTGTCATTCCGTGTAGATTTAATGTTGTTTTAGCAGATCAGAAATATTTGGTCAATATTCATTATATCGACTATTAATAAAGATTGAATCTTAATAAAAAACTTAATTTGTCATATTTTGAGTTTGAATATGATATTTACCTGGTTCTTTAATATTTCATTAGATGGCTTATTGTTGATAAATAATGAAGTAAGAGCACTATACATGGGATTGCTGGGGAAGTAGATTAGATACATTATTTCATGAGGTGTCTATACTTCTAAGTATTTTTTAAAAAGATTGTTCTTGGCATACTGTGGTGAATGAGAACAACAATGGGAACAATCAAATATTAAATTACATTCGACCACGTTTCTGATGCCTGGTAGAAATTGCTTTATGAAACTTCAGAATACTGGAGCTTAACTGTTTACCAATAACCTTGAAAATTTGCAACATAACGACTTCAAATCCTATGTCCAGGAGATGTTCTACCTCTCTTCCTCTCTTCTTGGTAAATGAACTATGTGTATGATATGGCTTATTTTTCATTTTTTCTTCATATCTGTTGAGTGAACAGTTATCCAATATTTTTCTAACCCGTAACTTATTTTCATCTCCATATTCCTCTCTAACCTCTCGATTAATGCGCAACCTTTTTTAATGTCTGAAATCTTGGGTCACTTTATGATGAAGTCTCTTCTATCCTTTTATGAAAACATATATTTATCAAATAACCACGAATACGAATATAAAGTTTAAGCACATGATTTTGTCAACAAGAACATCTTCCTCTCTGAATTTGCCTTAGTTTTATTTTCTGATAGTTCTATATTTTCAGTTTGAATCAAGAACTGATCTTAACTTAACAACCATTGAAAACCTGTATGCATTCGAGTGGCGTTTCTTCGTAGTATGAGACTTTTCCTCGGGACGGTCCTCATTCACGAGCCTCTTCTAAACAAAAAAATTGAGGACCAGAAGCAATGTCACCAAGTCAGTTACTCACTGTCAACTTCAGCCGAGTTGACGTACAAAAGGCATTAAGTTCTCTAGAACTAGAAAAATCAACAGAACTGGATGAACTATATTTTAAAACCCTGAAACAGTCCATAATATAAATTGCTACTTCGCTCAAAACTTCATTCAGGATTTTACTGATCCCCTAAAAATGTTACCTGTAGACTGGATGGATACTACTATCATTCCAGTTCATGTGACAGGACTATGACAATTCTCATCAAATAACAAACGCTCCAGACCTTTATTTTACCTTCATTCTATTTTTGTCGCAACACCTTATTTTCTTGTCAACTGAGAAACATTTTTAACTAAAGGCATACTGTATTACAAACATCTAATAATAATTATAATAATCTGTTTGTACATAATAATGTTAATTAAAACAAAACTTTCCATTTTATTAATTATTAATAATGAAGAATGAATTACTTTATTTATAAGTAACACGAAAATGATGTTGATTTGATTTGTTAGAAAGATTTAAATTATCGATACTTGACCGAACAGTCTAATAGAATCTGGACGGGTGCTTCGATACAATATAGGCTGACGATTATCTGACTTCACAGTGGTTACCAGTGCAGTTCAATAACCATGCTTCGGTCTCACTCCGTGTATTCAGCCAAATTGAATAATTACTACTACGATCTTCAAAAATGACAATAGATCCAGTGGAATTGTAAGATATTGGCTACCCAATGAGCATAGATTGACGTATTTAACACTGAATATTAATAGGGTGCATAGTTAATCATCGAAATGAAATGTGCATAAATGTAGATTTTGTTTTAACTACGTAGTTTTTAATGAATACGAGAGCTGAAATTATCAAACCTGTATTTTAAATAGTTTAGGGTACACCAATCTTATTGCTTTTATTACTTTTCATAATACACTTGTCCAATATCAATTTTCACTATTTGGAAAATTACTAGAATTTTTCTGAATTTATGTGCTTAGGTTATCACATCGTTTCACATGATGCTTTCATTTACCGATGACTAACCACAACCACGTAAGTAAACGATTTTCTTAAACTCAAGCAACTGCCAATCTTTAGCAATCGGTAGGCAAACAAGTTCGTGCATGATTGATATTTTACGTTTGATTCACCTTTCACTATTTCACTAGCCTAACTAGAATGGCAAAGTAACTTTAAGAGCTATATTCTCAATGCGTTTTCTTCATAAACAACTCTTAATATCTCATGAACACGTTCAAGGGTATTCTCAAGTTTACAATGACTTTTATTCTAATTCCACGGTACTGTTCAAACAATTTCTGATCTGTCTGGTAGTACTGAATTTTCTTCATAAATTGTACCTAAATAACGATATTATAAGTTGCTTCAGTAACATCACTGGTACTGATGAACTAAATTTATTGTTCAACGACTTTATTGACTACGTAGTTACCTCTTAGAAAAGATATTATAATAAGATAAAAAGAACGTCATCAGAAAATCTTTTAGTCAGAAGTTTCATTGAAATCATGAACCGATCAATGTCGCAATATCATTGATAACCTGGAAGCACTCGAAGAACGTTTCGTTTTAATATAGCACTCCTTAACGCCGAACACTCATGAAATCGAACTCTGTAATACAACACTAATCATTCCATCTCCTCTGTGAATACTTAAACTCTAAACCACTATGTCGGTATCCAACAGTGTTCTCATGTTTAACGTTAATCAATCCACCACATTGCATCACCATCTCACATAATCTTCAATGGATGACTGACTCACACTCGACATGGATTAGTTCCACTGGTCATGGATTCCCACTAGAACCCTATAACTCCTCTCGAAACTAATTACTAGTGAGCACGTGAAAACTATCACTACTGGGTTATGGAGATTGATTAGAAGTTCTGTCTCCAAATGCATCTCCTAGTCAAAGTAATGATCAACTAGATAAATTAAATGTAACAGATAAAATTCAATCTCTGTAAATGTAAAACAAATGAAAATGCTGATTAATCAACAAACAAATTCACCGTTTGAAAAGTCTAATTGAAATTCACCTTTACTCAAGTAAATAATAAAATGTCTGACCATATATAAATTCACTCTACAACTCAAAATATCTTTTTCAAAAAAATTATGAATTCTAAGGAATAAAATCTAAACAAAATTTAGTTGAGTTTAACAGATTGTAAAAATTAACTTTTGAACAGATAAATAGATTTTTTGTCATGGATTCACGCAAGCTCGTGTTGGTTGGAAACTATGGGAAACCAGGAAACAGTGAACAGTGGTTTTCCTTTAGTTTAAAACTCTATATTAGTGAATAACTACTGCCTCAATAAAGATTGGATTCAAGATGTTTGTATCTTGAGTTGAACAGGTTACCATCTAATAATATATATATATATATATATATATATATATATATATATATATATATATATATATGAAAATACCTTATTGACAGACAAACAATTGTCGATAATTTATTTCTTTTTATAAACGCACTTATGGGGGCCTTCTGTTTAATCTTCCTAAGTAATGGTGTTTTTATGACTAAGATTTTATTTTATTAGTTGAGATCATGAGTCAATTGAATTTAGACCACTATGAAAAACCTGGAAGCACTGTACGGCCGTTTCTTCCTATTGTGCGACTCCTCAGTAGTGCGCATCCACGATACCACCTCCCTCGCGAGATTCGAACCCATCACCTATCAGTCTCGCCCGCGAACGCTTAACCACTAGACCACTGAGTCGTCCGGCATCCAACGGTGTTAATGTCTAACTTCAACTAATCCACGAAATTGAGCGACACATCCACCATTGTCTTCAGTGGGTTATTATCTCACAACAGACCGAGTTGAACTCCACTGGTCTGGCTTCAATTGACTCATGATCTCAACTATTAAAATTACTAAAATATCCAAAAAAAGCCCTTCTGAGATTAAGACTTAATTCAAACTGAACAAACAATATATATATATATATATATATATATATAATTTCCAATGTACTCAATGTAAGTTCCTACTCATAGACACATATATTTTACTGAGAAAAAGACAAAGTAGATTATAATTAGATTTTCTATTCGTCAAAAATATTGTTGCATGTAGTTAGTTGTACGTGACATATAAATTGTGTCTATTAATGTTTAATGGTAGAATACAAATAATAATTAATTGACTAATTAATAAGATTAATATATAGTTGATTATACAAAAATTATAATATAAAATGATAAAGGAGAATTTTATTAACTCAAATCTTATTGATTTTTAATACTTGAAACCAAGGGTAAATGGAAAAGTAATGTGAGTTTAAATATTTTACAATGAATACATATATACATTAAGGATGTATTAAATTGACTTATTATAATTCATTCTTTTATATTATATAATTAAATCAAATGCTGAGATGATGGAAATTTGTTCTACGTAAAATTTGTACTGATGATATTATTCAATAGAATGATGAAATCTCCACGACTAAATCATCTAGCTCAGAGAACAAAACTCCATCTAAATCAAATGTATATCCTTAATGAATTACAAATTTTTTATTATGACATAACATATAGATAATGTTTATTATATTATTAATATTATTTAAATTATTAACTCAAAGTATAACTATTCAAAATGAGAATAATTTGAGCATTAAATAAGAATCTTTCAACAATAATAATAATGATAAAAAGTTATGACTTATAGATTAGTTACTTTAAAGCTGTAAATTCATAATCATTGTACTACATGGATTGATAGATCATTCATACAAAAAATAAATCAATTAGATAATGTTAAAACAATTAGCCCCTTTGATAAATTTCGATAATGTAATTAGAAGATGAAGATTATCAGAACTATGTGATATATTAGCGCAATACTTTTCGAACAATCTGATCACACATATATTTGTTAAAAGCATTTATATATAAAAATAAAAGGTCAACTAGACTGGAAACGGGGTAAGAGGAGATAAGGATAATGATGATAAGAGTAATAATAATAATTTGTAAATTTAAACCCCTCTTATGTGTACAAAAATAATTTGTCGTAACCTTGAATATACCTTGGTAATCCTTAAGTCATTCTATGGCCTAGGATAACGCGACAATTTCTTATTCTTTCTCTCCCCTTAGTTATTTTAATTGAACTTTTATTTGTTTGACCTTTAGTATTTTCATTAAAAAGAAGAATATATTTGTAAAATCTCAGCGAATGAATTTTTAAGTAAATCCAACGTTTCGCCTGGCAATCTGGTCCAAGCTTTTTCAAGGAAAAGCCAGTCTCACATTAACTCGGCACCCAAATGTTGTGAAACTATTCGTTCAAATTTAGACGAAAGTTCTTATTTAGTATTTTCATATAAAAATGCCCTGACAAGTATATGTGTGACCAGATTGTTCGAAATGTATAGCGCAAATACATTACATTTTTCAGATCAACCCCGTCTTCTCATTGTTCTATCGAAATAATAATATGAACACAATTCGAAACCTAATCACTCTGGATAATAAGTCAATATTACCAGGGTAGGTTTAAGGTAAGAACAAACTGTTTTTGAACATACAAAGGGGGTTTGAATTGTCGTATGGCTAAGGCTTCAATAAACCCTAGTAAACGCCATTTTACACTTTTATACAACACCATCATAAATGTTCTTAACAAGTATATATGTGATCAGATTGTTCGAAATGTATTGTGCTAATATATCACATAGTTCTGATAATCTTCGTCTTCTAATTAGATAATATTAGTTAACTAAAAACGAGTGAAGGTTTTGCATTATTTATTACTTAATCATCCATTATTCATTTACTGTTGTAAAGCTTTTGATAATGTATCATCTCATAACAACTATTGACTTAAATATTCACTATTCTTTTTTACGGTAATCTATAAGAATTTTTAAAACTGTATAAATATACATAAATAAATAATATATTTGTAATGACCCGATGAGTAGAGAATTAGATTTTCTGACGTTTCGTGACTTAGTGTAAGTCACTTCTTCAGAGAATAAATAACCAAATTAAAATTAATCCAAGTTTAAATCGTACAACGGAAAAACGGAACATGACATTGATTTGTTCAGACCTGTTTTTGGATTGATCACATAATATTCTTATTGTTCCGTCGTACTATTTAAACTTGTATTAATTTTAATTTGGTTATTTATTTATACTCTGAAGAAATGACTTACACTTAGTCACGAAACGTCAGAAAATCGAATTTTTCTACTCATTGGGATATTACAAATATATTATTTATTTATAACAATCTACCCAATGCTCAATTTATTCGAAATTATCAAATCAAACCTTGGTAATGATACCTATCTAAATATACATTTTCTATTTATTGTAGAAATAATCCTAAAACATCATGTCAAAACGATGGTTAGGAATATGCACTCATTTTTCTTCTAATTCTTATTTGTTCAATTTTAAAAAGTGAGTTATTTCTATTTTTAACCAAATAGCTTGATGAATTAGTGATTAAAAAATAATTTAATTCAATCATAGAATTTTGAGTAGAATGAAAAATTGAACTATGTAAATTTCGGTTTATTTCAATCACAATTTATTGATCATTGAGAATGGAACAATTCCAAGTTTTGTCTACTGTTTTTAATACTGACCAAATTCCATCAAATTACAGTGTAACTAATTTAATTGATTAACGAACCAAACAACTCAGTCATAACATTTAAGACTGTGAAATTGAGTGATCCAAATTTGAATCAGATTAGCAGCTTAACTTACCTCATGTTAACAAGTACATTTTGTTAATGAGTGCTAGTTAGCACAAAATCTAGGTTTGGGATTTCCTGTTGGATACATCCAACCGATTAATAGGAAAGTTATTTCGTCGAAATTTTGAAAATTTTGGGTTTGAGGTACTTAACAGTTGTACATTATTGATTTCATTATGTATGACTAAAATCTATGACCGTTGCTGCTACTTTAACGAGGTTGTCAAGATTGCCTATCAAAACAAACCAATCGAGCTATACTGCCTGAAACGTTCGTTTTTCAATGTCCTACTATGCCAGACAGGTCGGTTGAGGAGCGGTGGAACTAAAAACAGCAATCTCAAGGTTCGAGGACAGAAGTCGCACAATTAACTGCACAAAGTTGTGACGGAAGTAAGGTGTTTCCCTCAGATAACACGCATAACAGCGATGCTGCCTTCCCACAAGGAGGTTTGGGGTTGAAAAGATCGACTGTAAAAATACACATCTCGCCTTATCCCACGGATATCCGTATCCGGTGGTAAAGTCTCAACAAGTACGTAGTGAACACGAAATTTTCTCACAAAAAGTTCATATGTGACCGAACTAAAGAAGTTGTTCGTCGGGCACTGCGATCACGCTCTCAGATCACTTAGACCACCCATAAACTAATTTCCTTTCCAGACTCTTGTAGAAGAACCCTTCCATGGAGAGGATGACAGGGAAGTGATAACCGCCCTCATAACTCTAACAGCACTCAAGACCACTTCATTCATAATCAATCTCCCTCTTCAATTCCTATTATTCCTCCGACCTCTAGTTTCAACACCGAACTTCCTCTTTTGACATTCTCCTAGAGAGTCACCATGGCCAGTGATTATTGTGCGCGAACCACTCCCAGGTCTACTGAAACCTCGCTCCAAACTACACATTGGAGCCTTCAATGTGCTCACCCTATATCGAATTGGCCGGCACGTCTCCTTGACTAAAATCCTAGAATCTCGTACGATTGATACATGCTGTGTCTCCGAAACACATATGTAGAGAATCCTAATGCGGTCACTCACTTGACCTCATCTCTCCAAAACGGAAAGTCGATGAGTTACACACTCCGTGTTTCTGATGACCCAATGGGCAATTGTCGTGTACTGACAGATGTAGGCATAGCACTGAGTACGAGGGCAGAACAAGCACTATTGGAACGAATTCCCGTTAACAGACGCTTATGTGGTAAACGGCTAAACTGCTCGTTAGGAACTCGGAAAGATAACGAGACACGTCGTTGCCTGTTTGTCGTTTCTGCCTACACTCCCACTGGCTGCAGCCTGGATGAAGTGAAATATGACTTTCACAGAAAGTTTTCTGAGTTTCTTCAGAAGGCTAAACACTCAGACATAGTACTCATAACGTGTGACTTTAATGCCCAGGTAGGTAGTTTAAACCGAACACAAAGATATTTGGGTGCGTATTTTGGTATTCCGGTTCAGTGAACAATCAGTGGTGTCCGTCTGCTGCAACTGTGCTCAGACAATCGTTCATTTCTGAAATCACCAATTTTAGGCAATGAGAAGAGACATTGTTTAACTTGGAGACCCCCTGAATCAAACCAACGATGGACTCAAGTGGACCATATTACCATCAGTCATCGTTGGAGAGGGTCGATAGAAGACTGTCGCTCGTTCTGGAATACATGTCTAGACTCTGACTATGCTCTAATACGAGCACACGTTCGGTGAAACCTCTCTGGACACAGGTAAACAACATTAAGAAATCGCATTGGAGTCGAACTCATTGACGAGAAAGCGAAAAGTATATTCCAGGAACGACTGAGGTCACACTTAGGTAGTTCTGAAAACGAGGCTGACCCAGATGTTGCTTGGAGAGAAGTACGAACAGTTGTGGAAACAGCAGCGATATCTATCAGTGATATGAATTGAAGGGTCACGAAAATCAGTGGATTTCTACTAAGTCTCTCGCACTGGTAAATTCTCATACAGAGAATTATTACAAACATTTTCCATTATTGCTTAATAATTAAATGTTTTGTATTGTTGTTACGTTTGAACACGTTTTAATACAGGATGACGGTGTTTCAGGTTTGATATAATAAATAAATACTCAACAGTTTGAGAGTGTGAGTAATGATGAGCAAAGAAAGCGAAATAGATGGGAATTTCAGCAACTGTAGTTAATACCAGACAGCGTTTTATACTAATAAAAGAAACTGGAATTAATAGGTCAAGTGTGAGATGATCTTGGGAAAAGATGACACTATTTTCTGTTCTCAATCCAGATGTTTAGAATAATGGGCGGAACACTTTAGGAAGTAGTTCAGCTGGCCTTCAGCCATTCTCCAACTACCCACCGTTCCCAAACAGCCTGAATGAAACATTAAAGGAGTCCCCACAACTCTAACTGAAGTTCAAAATGCTACAGATACGATAATCTGAAACGAGGAAGAGCAGCGGGTCCATTATGTATGTTGGTTCAGTTTTAGCGATAAAGTTGACCAATATTTTATCTAGAATCTGGTGACTAGATGCAATACCATCTGAACGGTCGCGATCACTGATTGTCCTAATATATAAGAATGGGTTAAAATCATCCTGTGATAATCATAGACGGATTAGTTTGACCGATATAGCTTCTATAATACTAGCCTCAATAATTATCGGACGCCAAACAAAATCTCGTGAAATGACAACAGGAGAAAATCAGGCTGTATTCAGAACTTGTCGTGGCTCTATCGAAGATTTTAGAACGTGGTCATGTTTGTCGGCGTCCGACAGTGATAATTTTTCTTGACATAAAACCAGCATTTGACTCTATTGACTGAGAGGTTCTGTGGCAGTGTCTGTCATTGAAAGTTGTACATCAGAAGTACATAAACCTTGTGACGGCTCTTTAATCGAACACCACTAGTCAAGTCAGAGCTTTTGGCGAACTGTCATCTGATTTTGCAACCTGAAGTGGTGTCCGTCAAAGTTGTCCACTATCTCCATTTTTGTTCAACTTCATTATAGACATACTGATGAAAATAACAATTCCGTCATTTGAATTTTCGGGCATTGATCTCTTACCAGGAGGTGGACTTATCGACTTATAATACGCAGATGACATATTCTCGTCTGGTGAAAATGCTCATTAAATGCAGTCTTTTGAAAACATAGGGCAACAATTTCAGGATGCTTGGGAAGCAAGTTGTTGCTTCAGGACTGGCCTGCATCAACACTTGAACTAAGGATAGAAAGTGAAGTAGTCGAACGCGTTGACAACTTCACTTATATTGGAAGTTCGATCAGACGTAGTGGGTTGGTGTCTGATGAAATGTGTGCACGACTCAGAAAGCTCGTTTGGATTTTGCCAACTTACGTCACGTTTGGCGAAGGGAGATATCCGTCTATCAATTAAGGGACGAGTATACTGTGCGGCAGTCCGTTCTGTTCTAATTTACGTCTGAGAAATGTGACCATTAGGAGTAGAAGATACTCGTAATTTGCCTGTGTTTGATGATAGATGTCTTATAAATGTTGTTTGCATCTGCTGGTATCACCGGGTAAGTAATAGTGAGGTTAGATGAAGGATATTCGGAAATGATGATAAATCAGTCGATGAGGTTGTGACTGTTCATCGATCGAGATGGTTGGGCCGGGTGTTACGTATGCTTAACCACCGTTTACCACGATGAGCAATGCTAACTACTGTTGGAGACACACACATCTATCGTAAATGGTTGCTTAAGCATCTTAGTATACTTTATGTAAATTTTGATTCACTCACTATAGTATATGAGATTCTACATTCTAAGGGGCATAAATAATCGATCACCCAAAACTTAGAGGATATGAATATGTTTAATTGAATCGGATCCGTACTACAAAACCTAATGTTAATCGCACAAAATCATGCAGTTGAAAAAAGTAAAAGGTCTTACATGTACGTTCGACACGTATTAAGTGCTATACTTGAATTTACTAAAGTTATGTTAATTTTTAGTTTAATAATAACAATATACAATAAAAAAAACATAAATTAATCTATAGGCCTAAATACAGGATAAGTAGAATAATTGTATTGAAAAACTAATTTATCTGTTTATTGACTCATTAAAATTGCACTTAGACAAATTCCATCGAAATCGATAATGCAAACAATACCATTTTCAGTCGTCACAACAAAAACACCATATATATATATATCATGTTACACCCTTTTTTAAATTTTATTCATATTATGAATCAAACACATTATTTCAGGAAAGATGTAAGTGATAATAAAGTCATTTACTCGTAAAGTAATTTAAAAGAATTGATAGTAATTTTAGGGTTCTAGTGGGAATCCATGACCAGTGGAACTAATCCATGTCGAGTGTGAGTCAGTCATCCATTGAAGATTATGTGAGATGGTGATGCAATGTGGTGGATTGATTAACGTTAAACATGAGAACACTGTTGGATACCGACATAGTGGTTTAGAGTTTAAGTATTCACAGAGGAGATGGAATGATTAGTGTTGTATTACAGAGTTCGATTTCATGAGTGTTCGGCGTTAAGGAGTGCTATATTAAAACGAAACGTTCTTCGAGTGCTTCCAGGTTATCAATGATATTGCGACATTGATCGGCTCATGATTTCAATCGATCAATTTCATTTTAAATACTTTTTAACTACTGTTACAATTTCATTTCACTGTGTGATTTATTAATCACTGATAAAATGC